AAAAAGCTGTCAAGCTGTCATTTAGCATTGAAAAAGTGTTCCACACAAATAAAAATTAAAGGAATTCATCACCACTAGATGAGTATTACAAGAAATGTTGAAGGGACTGTTTAAGAAGAAAGGGTTATAGAAAGTAACAGGAAAACATAAGAAGGTATAAATTTATCACAGGTAAAAATAGGTAATAGGCTAATCTAATGCTGTAGAAGGTGGTAATCACTTATGAAAGTAGTGTGCCAGATAAAAGACAAAAGTAGTAAACAATGTAACAATACAAAATATAAGTTCAATAGTTAAAGGATACACAAGATAAGAAGATGTAAACTCTGGGGCCTCCTGGTGGCACAGGGGTTAAAGGCAGTGCTATCAAGCCGTTGCCAGCCACAGCAGCATAAGTTCATTCCCAGCCAGCCAGGGAGCTGACCCACATGGCACAGCAGACCTCTCCTGTTTCACCCTCTGCTCCCCTCAGCAGTGCATTTCAGTGAATCTGCCTGTTCTGGTGAATCTTCTCACCTCTCCCACATCTCCAGCCTACATCTCCACTCTTGTATGCATAAATAAATAAATCTTTTTTAGGAAAATATAAACTGTGCCATGATAAACATACAACAGGATGCAAGAATGGTTCAACATCCACAAATAAATCAATACGACTCACCATGTTAAAAAATAAATAAAGGATACAAATAATATGACCATCTAAATAGATTCAGAAAATTCAACAAATTCACAATTTATGATTAAAATGCTCAATGAATTAGATTTATATAGAGAGTGTACCTGAACACAGTAATGCCATGTCTGTAACAAGACAATAGCTAACATCATCCCAATAGTGAAATGCTGAAAGCTTTTCTTCTAAGGTCACTGCTTAGCTCTCCTGGACAGAAATGCTCTCCTGAACAGAAATGCAGTGTGTGCAATCCACAAGCAATTCTTGGATACCAGTGGGGGTCCCAAAATTCGATTAAATGCTGACATTTTCTGTGTGGAGAAATCTGGTATCAGATTCTACATGTGAAGAACTCAGTCTCCCAAGATCATATGATGCTAGTTGCAAGCCCAGATTGCTAACTGTGCTTCTCACTGACAATAAATTAGAAGTTCCCAAAATCCCCTCCTCAGATTAAATTATTTTGCTATAATGGTGAACTCAGAAACTTCATTTGTTTACTAGATCACCAATTTAGTATAAAGGATATTACTCAAGAACAGCCAGGTGGAAAGGATACATTAAGACAAGGTATAAGGAAAGGGAATGGAGTTCTTTCTTTCTTTCTTTCTTTCTTTTTTTTTTTTTTTTTGGCATAGAGTTTCTAAGCCCTTTCCAGATATGCCATTCTCCCCAAACCTCCACTGTGTTCACCAATCCAGAAACTCTCTGAGGACCCTCCTTTTGGATTTTTATGGAGGCTTCATTACTTAGGCATAATTAATTAAACATTGGCTATTGGCAGCTAAACTCAAATCTCTAGCTCTCTCCTCACTGAAGGTCAAGGAGGTACAACTAGAAGTTCCACCCTCCAATTACTTGGTTAGTTCCACTAGCAACCAGTCCTCATATTTAAGTGCTTTTCAAAATAGTCTATCATTCACACTATATACTCAAAACAAGAAATTCCAAACTCTCAAAACTTAAGAAATTCCAGGGATTTTGGGAACTGTGAACCAAGAACTAAATAAAACTCAATACATCTGAGGAATACATTTTGGTCACCTAAAAGGTCATACACATACACACACACACATATACACCAGGAATACATTGTATGTATTTCCTATAGATCACAATATATGAAAAGAACAAAATGAAGAATGTATACTCTTGTCACTTTTGTTGAACATACTACTTAATACCATGGCCAGAGAAATGAGGCCAAAAACAAGAAAGAGCTTCCAGGGGCCTCCTTGGTGGCCTAGGGGTTAAATGTCGTTGCTGCTACCATGAAGGCCCAAGTTCTTAGGGAGGGCCTAAGTCCAATCCCCAGCCGGGAGGTGACCCACACAGCATAGCAGATCGCTCCTGTTTTGCCTGCTACTCCCCTCAGCAGTGTATTTCAGTACATCTGCCTGTTTTGTTCCCCACTCTGTCTCTGGTGAATCCTCTCACCCATGGCACCTCTGGCCTTGCCCCAGTTCGTCCATGCAAAAGTAAATATTAAAAAAAAAAAAAAAAAAAAGGCTCCCAGTTTGGAAAAAAGCAAAAATGTTCCTATTTGCTGCAGACATAACATGTACAAAAATCTACAGACTACCAAAATACTGTTAGAATATGAGAATCCAGTCAAGTTGCAGAATACAAAAATTAATATTAAACTCTGGCATTTCTATCCACTAACAATGAATTATCAGCAATATGAATAAAGAAAACAGTCCTATGTACAATTACATCAAAAAGAATGTAATAGCTAGAAATATATTTACCCAAAGAGGTAAAAGGCCTGTTCAATGAAAACTGTAACATATTGGTGAAAGAAGTTGAAGAAAACACAAACGGAAAGATAGATGATACATACGGATTGAAAGAATATTGTTGAAATACTCATACTACCAAGAACAATCTATAGATTTGCTGTAACCTCTGATCAAAATTCCTAGGACATTTTCAGAGGGGAAAAAAAAAATTCTACTTTAGTGTGACTCACAAAAGACCTCGAGTCACAACAATCTTGAGAAAGAAGAAGAAACCTGGAAGCACAGGCTTCCTAATGTCAAATTATATTAAAAAGCTATAATTATCAAAACAGCACAGAACTGGCATAAAAAAACAAACTCACACATCAATGGAATGGAATAGAACAGAGTACAAAAATAAACCCACACATACATGGGTCAGTTAATTATAAACAAGTGAGTTGAGAATACACACTGGGAAAAGGACAATCTCTTCAATAAATGGTACTGGGAAAACTGGACAGCCACATGCAAAAGAAATAAACTGGGCCATATACAAAATCAACTTCAAATGAGTAAAAGACTTGACCTGAAACAACCAAACTTCTAGAAGAAAATATAAAGTTCTTTGATATAGTCTTGCCAATAATTTTTTGGCAAGCAAAGGCAAGAAAAACAAAAATAAACAAGTGGGGTTATATCAAACTAAAAAGCTTATATACAACTGGAGAAACAAAATGAAAAAAAAAAGGAAGAGTGGGAGAAATATATTTTTAAAATACATTTAAAAATATTTATATCTTTTCAATATATTATATGTACTGAAAATCATACACACATATCTGCACACACACACATCTGATATGGAGTTAATATCCAAAATACATAAAGATTTTTTACAACTGTTACAAAAAAAAATTAAAGTAAGAGCAATGGGTAGAGAATCTGAGAAGGCATACAGATGAACAACAGGTATGTGAAAAGGTATTCAACTTCTGTAATTCCCAAGACAATTAAAATCAAAACCACAATGAGATTTCCACCTCACACCTGTCAGAATTGCTATTAACAAAAGGACAGAAATAATAAATATTGGTAGGGATGTGGAGGAAAAGGTACTCTTATGCCCTGCTGGTGGGGATGTAAACTGGTATGACCACCTTGGAAACCCGTATGGAATTACCATATGACCCAGCAATTTTATATACCTATATAAAGAATAAAAGTGGGATCAAAAAGGTATAGTCACCTTCATACCAGCATTATTCATAGCTAAAATAAAGCAACCTAAACGTCCATCAACTGATGAATGGATAAACAAAATGTGGTATATAGGCATGTGTTGCTTAACGACATTCTGACCAACACTTGACAGTGTATGAGACAGTGGTTCCAACAGACTATACTCCTATCACCTAGGTATGGAGTAGGCGATCTCATCTAGGTTTGTACAATTATTTCTCAGAATATATCCTAGTCATTAAGCAATGTGTGATATACAACATTCAGTCTTTAAAAAGGAACAAAATTCTGGCCCTCCCTGGTGGTGCAGCAGGTTAAAGCAGAGCACTAAGAAGCTAAAGCCACATCTGCATGAGTTTGATCCGCACCTGCCCTGGAGGTGACCACATGGCTGCGGCAGACCTCTCCTGACCTGCCCGCCGCTCCCCTCAGCAGTGTCCTTCAACAGTCTGCCTGTTCTGTTCCCCACTCTGTGAATCCTCTCACCACTCCTGCACCTCTGGCCTATACCCCAGTCTGTATGCACAAATAAATGAATCTTTAAAAAAAAAAAAGGAACAAAATTCTACAATGTGATACAGCATGGCTGAATCTTGAGGGCATTTTCTAATATGTCAGTCATGAAAAAATAATCAGCCAGTTGTAAAAAGACAAACACTGTAAGATTCTACTTACATAAAGTACTTAGTTCAAAATCATAAGACAGAAAGTAGAGCGGAGGGGCCGGGGAGGAGGAAGAATGGAAATATGGAAAGCAACTGCTTAATAGATATAAAGTTTCAGTTGTGAGATTTAAAAGGTTATGTGGGCAGACCGGGGTGATGGCAATGTGAACACGCGAATACCAATGAACTGTATGCTCAAAACAGTTAAGACAGCAAAGTATTGTGTTTTATCTATTTTATCACAGTTAAAAGGCTTTTTTTTAAAGATGTCTACTTTTGTGGCTAAAACCCTGAGTGACTTAAGTAAGTCATAAGTTGGACAGTCAGTGGCAAAAAATGACTTTAGGGGGGCTCTAATATTAGGGTCAGTGGGTGTTCAACCCTGGAGGACGCAATCTACCTCCAGGGGGAAGAAAAGGCAGCAATGTCAACCAAACCAACACAAATCCCCTTCCTCTGAAGCCCAATCTCTGAAGTTCCATCTCAAGCTCCCATCTAGTCTAGACCTCCTGTCTTGGCAACAGCCTGGACCCCCTGGGGCAACTCATCTGCCTGTCATATACCCACAGACCTCAGGGAACTACGCAACAGTGTAGTGCAGGACCCACCCTCTCTGAACTTCACCCCAACCCCACACACTAGGGAGCCCAAAGGAAAGAAGCAGAGGCAGATAAGGAATTAGAAAGTTGCACATACTCAGAAGCCATAAATAAGGCCTGAAGGATGCTATTCACATAGCACGTGTTGCCCAGATTGATTAAACCAATCTTCCCGGTGTCTGACTTGGCCATGAGTCGGGGATAGAAACCAGCCAGTTCACTCTTCTGTGAAGTCCAGGCATCCTGCCCCAGCAGCTGTTTGATGCGGTCCTCATTGGGAACATGGAGGTCCTGAAAAGGGAAAAATCCAGCAAGATGGTAGACACCAGGGCCAGCTCTAAAAATATCACCTCCTCTGGGAAGCCTGCCCCACACCCTCCCAAGCACACCACCCACAAATGTTCTCGATGTGTGTGTAGTCAATCCCTTGATGCTAAACTTACTGTAAGCTCTCATCTTGACCCAAGGACCTTCTACATGATCTTTATAACACAATTGCCTTAAGGTGGTAAAATCCTCACTTTATAAATGAAGAAACTAAGAGAAAAGAATTTCCCAGGAATACAGCTGTTGTTATGTTCCTAGGGAAATACAGAGTGTGACAGACTCAGCAATGATCACACTGGCTCACCAGCCACGTCAGCAGACAGAATCTCAGCCCTTTACTGACTCCCAGCCACACCAGCTTCCTGGCTGTGGTCCATGAAGCCTCTCTGACTCAGTCATCTTCCCTAGACCTCAGTTTTCTCATCAGTCAGGTGAGGATACTCCTACCTCTACCAGTGTGCACTATACTGTCAAAGTTCCCTGTACAAAGATGCTCCCATTTTCATCTTCTCCGTTTAGGCTTGCAGAACCAACTTTTTAAAACTAGTCTGCCCCTGGAACTTGACCCTATAGTCAGGCTAGTGGGAGATTTCCCGGAGCGCTTCCCCACTCATTATCCTTTCCACATTAAACAGCTGCACTTAAAATATTATCTAGGCCTGGTTCTAACAACTGTCCATTTTGAAGGAAAACATCTAAGCATAATGCCGTTATTTAGACTTAAGCGATCATCTTAACAGTTTTTCTCTCACCCTGTTCTTTTTGCCAGGCCCTGAGCACAGTCAATAGATTTATCCAAGGCTCTAGAAAAAAAAAAAAAAAACACAATAGCCTCCCTGGTGGCACAGAGGTTAAAGATGCAGCACTATGAAGCTTTCCACAGCCACTGCAGCATAGCGATTCCTAGCCAGGAAGCTGACCCACATGGCACAGCAGACCTCTCCTGACCTGTCCACTGCTCCCCTCAGCAGCGTATTTCAGTCCACCTGCCTATTCTGCTCCCCACTCTGTCTCTGGTGAGATCTCATATCCTGTACCTCTGGCCTACGCCCCAGCTCTTATGCGCATAAATAAATCTTTAAAAAAAAAAAAAACCACAGGTTTCCCCAGCGCACATTCTTTGCCACTGCAGATCTGGCCCAAGGTCTCACTTAACACTTCTGCTCACTCATTACCTATCAGATTAGTCATTTCTCATGGATACTTTTTTTTTTTTTTAATGCAGGGGCTGCCAAAGGTAAGGTGATTAATGGCTTAGTGTTTTCTCAATCACTTCTTTATTCTTCCTGCTAAGCCCCTACCCAGCCTCACACATACAACATGAACAATAGTGACAAAAAGACCAAGAACTCCACACATGCACACACACAGGTGATGCAAAAATACCCATAATGGGAAAAAAACAAACAAACAAACATCAAATACTAGTTCCCCCAAAGAAGGCAATTCTGTTTGTGTAAGAAAATAAAACAAAATTTCCAAATACCTCTAAAAGCTCCTGTTATTGAAAATTTTACAATGGCTTCACAGCAAGGACCACAGCTTACAGAAAAACATTTATCACCTAACACAATGGCGTAAGAGAACTTTCCAGAATTTATGAAAGGACACAGATACAAAGAACTACATACTCACAGAACACAGGTGAAACAATTTCATAAACTGTAAAAACCTATGAATTATTTGCTGCTTTGTCTCTCAAACAGGCTTGTACCACAGGACAAGGCCAGAGGACAAGTTCCTCCTTCTGGAACGTATTGCTGATATTCAAGGAAGAAAAGTATATTAAAGCAACTGCTCATAATTATGAAGTATATATTTGATTCTTAAAAGAAAATGAGTGTAGAGAAACTGCACTTGCTTTAGGTGACTTGGAATAAGCTGCCTGCACTGATGACTGAGAAGCCCAGCTCTATGGGTTAAGCAGAATTGCTCAGCCTGGTGTTCAAGACTCTGTTCTGCTGATCTTTCTCACCTCCCTTCCATCCACCAACATTATTGCCAAACTGGGCTAGTACAGCCCCATCCTTTTCCTTCCCCCCAAAGTTTTGTGAAGTGGCCTCTCCTGTCAGTCCCATCCCTCAAGGCCTGACTATAGGCCCCTCTGTAGATAGCTTTGCAGGATCTTCAAGCTGGGAGCCCACACAATCTATACGTGTCTTACACCTACTAGTACAGGTGTCTGGACCCACCTTGTTCCATGGATTAGGCCAAAACCCCTGGTAGCAGAGCCCTACCCTCACTCAGCACAGATGGCCCTCAGTGCCCAATGGGCCTGACTCCCTCCTCTGTTCACATCTCCACGATGACATTCTTCACACTATGGTCACATTTGTTCACTCATTGAAACACTGAGTGGGCACAGCAATCAAAATGACAACAGAAGCTCACAGTCTAGCAGAAAATAATAACAGTCACTTCCAGCAAGAGAAACCCTTTCTCCTCTGCCCCTCTACACCTCTAGTGAGAGGGAGTTCATGTCCTAGCAAGATTAGCTCCAACAAGAAACTCATGTGAATCTGGAAAACCAACAAGAGCCAACTAAATTTCAGAGGTTTTTTTTTGTTGTATCAATCAACACTACTCACAGTGGAAGGTTCCCATGTGTGTTTTGTAATTTTTTGGATTGTAAACTCATCTCAAGCATAATTTTATCTCTAGGGCTTGAAAACAGTTTCATTTGTTTCTACTAGAAAACACTTCAGTAGTCAAGGTATAGTACTACTTTAGTTTAGCATCTACTAAAATGATTATGAATTTGAACCCCTATACATTTATGAGACAGGCCACTAATTACAAATCTTCCCAATCCAGAGCCAAGTCAAGCCAGAAAAGCTTCCTTGATGTCTACTTACATGTGGTAAAAAATACCACGTGTGTATATTTTTCTAGATGACTCGTTTGCTAACAGCAGAGCTTTAATTTGCTGCTTAGTGCTAACTCCCCACAGGTAAGACTCTAGAGCCTCCTGTACCCACCAACCCCAGCCCCTGGGTGACAGGTTAGCCATCTCACCTACCCCCTTCTCCACCCCATGACAAAAAAAGCATCATCTCTCACTTCCCATTCTGGAATTCAGTTTTCTCTTCATTTTAGGCCTCTGAGCACCCCCCTTACTTTCTTGCAAACTCAGCTATGTACTTAAGTCATTTGTGGGCCCTCTCTGGTGGCACAGCGGGTTGAAGCACAGACTAAGAAGTTAAAGCCACTTCAGCATGGGTTCGATACCGGCCCCGAGAGGTGACCCACATGGCGTGGCAGACCTCTCCTGTCTCCCCGCTGCTCCCTTCAGCAGTGTATTTCCATCAATCTGCCTGTTCTGCTCCCCACTCTGTCTCTGGTAAAGCTTCTCACTGTCCCTGCACCTCTGGCCTGTACCCCAACTCTGTATGTAAAATAAAAATCTTAAAAAAAAAAAAAAAACAGCTTGTTATATTTTAACAAGCATTTCTAGGTGTTTTGTAGTGGGACACTTTTCAAGATTTCTCTCTGCCACGGTACAGAAATGGAAACCCAACAGGAAGTCCTGAAAAGGCTGCCACCTCCCTAGGGCTCCCTACTGTGGGCCTGCCCTCTGTCTCAGGCAGCAAGAAAGGGCTCAGCACCCAGCACCCTGCATGACTCTCACTACCTCTATGACTCTGCCCAAGACACCAAATCTCTCCAAGTCTCCTTTTCCCCAATTATGACAGTGAAATTACAGGTTTCATGAGTACATCAGAAGACAAATACATTCAGAAGCGCCGTCAAGTGTGGCACTGTATACAAGTGTTAGTTAGTTATTATCCTAGCGGCCCAGTGAGCCCAGCTCAAAAGCCCTTTGTAGTCTCCTGAAGCTGGAGACCCTTCCTTCCTCTGGTTGCTCACTACTCCCAGACCCACCCTTTAGGCATTTTATAGGTCACTTTGACTAGTTACTTACATACATGCATGCAAGTCTGTCACCCCACTGGGCTGCAAACTCCTCAATGGAGGAGACCCTATCTGCCCCATACCTGTGTCCTGAGTTCCCAGCCTGGGCCTAGCACTGAAAAGGACATCAGTAAAGTTATGTTAACAATAGTAAACAATCCCTGCTCTAGAATGTTCACTGTCTGGGGGGAGAAAGCAGGGAGACACAGACACACAGGCAATGACAGCGTCTGACAGAGGAACGTGTGAGAAAAGGATTGCTTCAAGCTGGAAGAGGCTGGGGAGTGGGGACTGATGTCAGGGAAGGTTTCCTGAGGGAAGTTAACTTATACATTAAAGCATTAAAGGACACGTAGGAGGTACCCAGGCAAAACAAGAGAAGGGTTTACAATCAAAAGAAGGGGATATGCAAAGGCTCAGAGCAATCACCAGGGCGGCACTCATGGGAATGGCAGGTGGCTTAGTGTACCTAAAGCATAGGATAGGTAGGGAGAGTTGAAGAGAGACAACCAACTGAGGACAGGCTGCCACCAATCTGGAATATGGCCTTGTCACAGCAGAGTGAGGAAGCAGCGGGGACTGTGACTCACCTTTATAGCTTCCATGACTGGCTCATACAGGTCCGGAAAGCCTGGGAACCGGAACACCATGCAGTGGACCAGCTCTGCCAGCTGCTCCAGGCAGCTGGTCCCTGAGTTCGAATCCTCCTTGAGCAGAGAGGCCACCATTGTGGGGATGTGAGGGAGGAGCTGTGAGAACAAAGCAGAGTTAGGCCCAGTACCAGCTGACCTACCGGAGATGTGGGATCATGTTGGCACTGCAGATAACCAGTGTGCCTGAAACAGGAGGTTTGTGACCTGACCACTGTCCTCCTCCCAGGCCCCCGACAGTGGGATCTGACTTCTGCAGTCCACTGACTCATTTTACAAGATATGTGAGCTTCAAGCCCCTGGCCTTGATCTTTTCATCTACAAAATGAGATACACAATGACCTCCTCACAGTTGCACCAGAGATGCAGCTGCTAGATCTTGGTGAAAGAACCTGTCCAAGCAGCCTGAGGGCCTGAGTGGCCAGGGCTCTCTCCTACCCAGAGGTGACAGTGACCAGCTGGTGGACAGCCTGAAGACAAGAAGAGACAGCCTCTACGGGCAAACGCCACTGTTCTTCAAGCATTTATGTGTCAAGCACTTCACAATGACTTTATGTGGCAGCAATTTTATAGATAAAGAAGTTGAAGTTAGGCTACATTAATTTTCCAAGAATTTCACCCAGGTTAGGACAGAAGTTGTTTCTTCCTCTGTGCTACAAAGGTTTAACTTTCAGCCCCGTGGGGTGCTCTACCACAACACCCCAGGGCCAGACAGGCGACAGAACTGGAACTAAAAGATTCCAAGAGAAAAATGGAAAGAAATAAGACTCATATCCTAGGCAACAGACTGGAACTAAAAGATTCCAAGAGAAAAATGGAAAGAAATAGGACTCATATCCTAGACTGTGGCAGGCTCTCAACAATTTCACCTCTTCTAATCCTCTCCTACTATCCTAGAGGTTGGCCCCTGTTCCAGACTCTGAGAGACTAACACTTGGTCCAAGGTCACCATCCAGCAAATGGGAGCTGGGACTCAACCCCCTAGTACCCCACTCCCTGGTTCTATGTTTTTCCCACTGCAGCAAATTGGGAAGCATGAAACTTCTGCCCATCAGCATCTAGGCTGCCAGGGAAGTCAGGCAGAGAGAGGAAGTCCCCCGGGGTTCATCCCTTCCCAAGGGGGGTGCCCAGAAGACAGAACAGGCCACCTGGGTTCTGGTGGTCAGAAAGGACCAGGAGTCAGGTCAATTTGGCTAGAATCTTCCTTGTCTCAAACACAACTGATAAGGGTACAAGTGACTTGCCCTCCCTAAACTGCAGTGTCCTAGCTAAATAATGGAGAAAATATAGAACCTCCTTCTCGAGCCTATTCCAGAGATGAAGTGAATGCACATATGTACCATCTTTTTTTTTTTTTTTTAAATTTTTTTTTTTTTAAAGATTTATTTATTTGTGCATACAGAACTGGGGTACAGGCCAGAGGCTCAGGGGCGGTGAGAGGCTTCACCAGAGACAGAGCAGGGAGCAGAACAGGCAGATCGACGAAGTACACTGCTGAGGGGAGCAGCGGGCGGGTCAGGAGAGGTCTGCCACGCCATGTGGTCACCTCCGGGGCAGGCGGGAATCGAACTCATGCGGAAGTGGCTTTAGCTTCTCAGTGCAGTGCTTTAACCCGCTGCGCCACCAGGGAGGGCCATATGTACCATCTTTAGCACTGTACTGACACACAGCCAGTAGCCCAAGGAACCGCAGCTGTCATCACCCTAGGGCAGTCACTTTAGTATGGACACCAATTCTCAGGCCTGCCTCCTGTCTGTAAAATGGGGTCTCGCATCTCTTCTAGTTCCGACAATCAGGGTGTCATGGTCTCAGGGATAAAACCCAACCTCCTACCCACAAAGCCAGCATGTCTGTGTCCAGACAAACCAGTGGGGTTAACAGGGTTGCTCATCCCCTGGACAGCAAGCAGGGACCCTTACCAGGTGGAAGGCCTCGTGCGAGTGTTGGAAGGTTAGGAGCATGTACTTGAGGACAGACAAGGCGGCCCCTCGGACAATGGGATACAGAAGCTTGGAGAAAACCTGGAAGAGAGTTCCTAAGTCAGGAGCCCCCCAGGCCTGGGCCACCTGAGGCTGCATGTACCCACAGGCCTGAGGGAGTCATCAGAGACACAAGGTTGAAGCAGTAGCCCCCTACAGAAAAGCAGAGGTCCTGAGTGGAGAGACAGATGGTGAAACAGACAGCAGACTCATCAGATGGATGGACAAACCCGGGTGACAGACACACATGCCTGAATGAGCAAGGAGAAATGGAGGGAGCACAGAGAGGGTAGTGAACCATCCCAGGTGGCAGTGAACTTGGGTGGGCACCCAATGCTCTGCATCCCACACCTGCACTGGCCCTGGAAGGAGACCAGCAAGAGAGGTCAAAAGCTGGGGGAGCACAGGGGCCACCAACCTTTTCAATTTTGGCCAGTGAAACCTCGATCAAGATGCTGAACTTCTTAACAGCAGCCAGGCCCTTCAGCAGTGCGATGATCCACTTGTCAATGTTCTTCCCCAGGGGCCAGGACACCCAGTCGGTCATCCTGCTCAGGGGATGGCAGGGAGGGCCAAATGGCAAAGTGAAGCCCCACACGGATTGCACCTGTACAGGGTAGGCTCCATGGGATGAACAAGACATCTCTAGGAACCACAAATAGCTCAGAATAGGCACCTGGCAGAGCCTGAGGCCCCCGGTCCGGAACCAGGCCCTATCAGCAGGCACCAGGAAGGGAGCCAGGCCCTATCAGCACCCCAAGCCTCACCCCTGCAGTGGGTCCAACAGCAGGAAGAGGGCTGCCCTCTTCCTGAAGCTCTAGCTCCAGCAAACCCTTGCTTGTGGCTTGAAACAAATCTTATAACTCTCTCTAGCCTATTTTTCTTTTCTTTCTTTACATTTTAAAAGGACTACTTTAGTAGGAAAAGGAGAGAGAGAGGCACCTGCATAGTCACAGGTGGGCTGGAGCGGCAAAACCTGTTTCTTCCTTTGTAAAATGGGGGTAGTACCAAGGTGGTGCATGGATTAAAAGAGATTTTAATGGTTAACAGTTATATAGTATTCACTATTTATTTTATATGCAGTAACACATCTGACCTCCACAGCATAAAGCCTGTGCCAACTGGGCGGGAAGCTGCCACATAGCATGGACTCAGGACATCATCAGTACTATCATGATTTTTATATTCAGTAGACTGTGCCAAAGGGGGGTAGAACAGTAAGAAAAAAAAATAGTAATTGCAGTAATAATAGCAAGAGAAAAAATAGTAATTGCAGTAATAATAGCTTCTAGGCACTTTACACAAATTCTCATCTAATTTAATCCTTGCAATAACCCTCTAAGGTGGGTCCAATCATACTACATTTTATAAATGAAGAAGTATAATGGCAGCCTGCAGGCTGGCAAGGCAGGAGGACAGGAAGAGGAGACTGGGGAGAGAGGGAACAGTACCACCACCACCCACCCCCGCAGGCAGGAGCTGGGAGGCTGCAAGCACCCCATCCCAGGCCCCAGCAAATCCTGTGCTTTTTCTGGGCTCTCTCTGGCATCCTCTCCCGTGCATCCTCTTCTGGTCTCACCTCTTCTGCAGTGACACTGCTGGTCCTCTTGTAGCCCTCCTGTCTGAACGACGCTGCCTAACTCTAGCTCAGGTGTGCACAATTGCGCATGTCCGCACCACACTCCAGGTGTCCACAATCAGACACCCGTGCCCCAGGCCCCACACTCCCAAGCACCTTCTGCATCAACAGGTCAAGGCCGCAGGTGATAGCCACAGAGGCTAGTTGTGTCAAAAGCACGATTTACTTACTTACCCTACAAGAAGCTAAAGTCTACAGAAGTTGAGTAAATTGCCCAAAGTTACACAGGCAAAAGGTGCAAAAGTGCAAAAGTTTTGCACTCAGGCATTTTACCTGATGGAGTTGGCATAGACAAAGGCCTGCAGGCATCACTACGTGGGCAGGCTGGCTAGACCATAAGTGTGTTGGTATTCAAATGAGGTGGGGGAGGTGCAAGAGTTCTGTGAGCTGAAGCTACCCCAAAACTGTTTATTATACTTGCCCAACTCAAACAGCACTTTGTAAAGTACTTTCACCTGACACCAGCCCTTGAAGGCCCGACAACCTCTTAATTACCTCCATTAATAAAGAGGGAAATTAAGGCTTAGATAGTTCAATGACCTATCCAGCATCACACGGCTGGTACCCAGCCTAAGAGCATTATTGGGACCAAGCAGTGTCTCCCATCAAGAGCTCAGGCACAGAGCGGGGCTCAAGAAAGAATGAACAAGCATGAGGGTCTGAGCCCTGGAACATTAAATCGACCCAGCAACCAGTGGAAAAGAGACCTGATGACACCCTATCTTCAACCCACCTGCTGATGGCGGTCAACATCTGGGCATCCGTCACACTGTCATCATTACTGAGGTTCCTGACAACACCATCCATGAGCTCCAATGGGAGGTGCTGCACCACACTGGCCAGGGCACTAGACGGCGGCTCCTCTTCTGGAACAGGGGGCTGGACTGAGCTTAGCAGGGGAGAAGGGGTCCTCACCTCCCCCACCACTCCAGACCCTCGAGCTGCCTAGGAACCAGACTAGGGCTCTGTACAGAGCACATAAGGGCCACCTCCTAGCTTCCTACGGCATCGCAGCCTCTATTAACTCATCCACTGGGCAAACCACTGTAACCACTTTGGGCCCAGCTCTGGGTCCAGAGAAAAGTACTGACCCCCAACTGTGTGGACAGAAAAGGGTCACTGGAAGGGTAACATTGGAGCTCACAAGAACCGGTAGGAGAGCTACGTGGACTTGGGGGAAGGGAAGACATTCCAGGTAGAACCACATGGACAAAGGCCTAGAGGTGAGAAAGAATATTTAGTTATCAAAACGTGGCTCTTCCTGCCAGGTGCATTCCCTTCCTTTCACCTGAACAGCCCAAGAATCAAAGAAGGCACAGACCTTTTTTCAGTAGTTCATAATATAGTCCAAATTCCAGTAGTTCATAATATAGTCCAAATTCCAGTTGTCAATGGAGGGCCAAAACTGACATTTCGGAGTTGGCTCCTATAGGCTCCATGGCATCTCCAGACCCTCCCACAGGGCTGCCCACAGCTCAACCCTGCTACCCAGCTCTCAGACTCGCCTCAAAAGGCATCAATTCTATTAAACACACCTAACCCAGAGGCATGAGGACTCCCCCCTTCTTGTGGTTGCTTTCAGCACTCCCTGTCCTTTCTAACCAGAATGATCCACTTGCATCCTCCCGCGACAGACCATAGGGCCCCATCCTGTGTGCCCAGCACCCGTCACGGAGCAGGCTCCCCAGTAAGAAGCAGAGGCTTGCTCACCAAATGAAATCAGCCCCTTGCACGTGGGCGCGCCAAGCAGAATGAGCGCAAAACCACCACCTGCTGGGGTGTGTGCACAACACCAGTCGTGCACGAGTCCCCGCCCAGCCCCGAGGCGCACGCACCTGTGCCGGAGATGACCGCGAACAGCTCCTTGAGACACGGCAGGATGGTGGCCGGCTGCGACCGCCACAGCTGCGCCAGGAGCGCGCTCACCTGCTGGGCCTGCTCCAGGAACTCGACGGCGCCCTCGTCCCCCTCTGCGGGGCAGCGGAAGCGGCCGAGGCAGCGCACCAGCTGCTGGCAGAAGAGCAGGCGGTGCGGGCCGTCCGGCACGCAGCGCGGATGTCGCGCCAGAAGACGAGCCACCTGCGCGCAGGCGGCGGGCCCCGGGCGCTCGCACACTGTGCGCAGCACCTCGCGCCGCAG